ATAGCAGCCTTCTAAAAGCAGAATATGCAGCAAGTTACTCCAAAGACTGCAAGCAACAGCCAGATGACCCTGAGTCTTTGTGAGGCTTTCTAAACTGACAGCTAATTTTCTTGAGGTGTTTTGATATAAAGCTAACATGCTAACATATTGCTTATTTGCTTATTTTATTTCTTGGAGTTCCCCCAAAATACAGTTTTCCTAATCATTTATAATGTACTGTTTGTCCTAGCTTGTCTCCCGGATTGTTTTTCTATTGAGTGTACTTCACATACTCTAGGATCTGGCCATTGTGTGAAAAGTCATGACTAGAAAGGGGATTCATGCTAAGATGTTAGCCTGGGCTTCCACATTAAAGTTTTCCTTTTTTGTTGTTTCTTTGCTTTCTTTCTTTACTTAAAGGTTATTGGTTAAAATTTAATGATATAAAACATAGCATTTCCCCACCACCACTAGCAACACAATAAAATGAAAATATCCAACTTATTTGAACTTTCTGACATACTTCTAGAACTGTTTGCTATATTACACAATTAACTTTATAATGATTCTGGAATAAATCTTAAAATCTAACTTTTTAACCACAAGGGTTAAAGGTACGGCACAACCACTTCAAACAAATCTAAGTCAATTTGTCATTCTATTTTCCTGCTCTCCAAATAATCAACCCTTTCTTAATTGTTTTTAAGGAAAATATTTAATAGACCATGCTGTATAATTAAATTAATCATTATAAATGCTGGGATGGTGTTTAATATTTAATAAAACCCAATGTTGAATTTGCCCTTGAGAACATAGTTGGAATAGAACACATATCTGTGACTTATTTACTTCTTCCTTGATTTAGATAATATCTCATTTTATCATAAATATACATTGAGCATTGTATCAATAGCATATTCAATGCAGAAATACAGTCTGCAAGACAATTTTTGTACAAGGGAAAGTAGGTGGTTTATTTAAATGATATTCAGTGGAATCACCATATGGGGCAAGCATAGGATGGATATTGAATAAAAAGCTCTGTCTAGAAGTACACAACTGCTGTCCAATTATACTTGTTATTTTTTTTAATTAAAAATAAAAACAGTTGTGAGCTGGTTAATTTTTGGTCAACTTAACACAAGCTAAAGTCATGTCAGAAGAGGGAACTTCGACTGAGAAAAAGTCCCCACCATACTGGTCTGTGGAAAAGCGTCTTCTTGAGTAATGATTGACATGGGGTGGGAGGGCCCAGCTCACTGTGGGCAGTCCATTCCTAGGCAGGAAGACATAATTCTTATAAGAGAACCATGGGGCAAAAGACAATAAGCAGCATACTTCTTTGCCTCCAGGTTCCTGTCTTGAGTTCTATAAGAAAGCAGGCTGAGCAAGCCTGGGGTACAAGACAGGAAGCGGCACCCCTCCATAGATTCTGCATCAGCTCCTGCCTCCAGGGTCCTGTCCAGTCTGAGTTCCTGTTCAGACTTCCTCACGGAAGATGAGGCCTTCCATGAGGAATCATCAAAATCTGTCAAGTCATTTGGAGTAGCGCCTAAGCCTTCCCCTGTATCTCTAGACTAAGGGAGTATCCCTCCATGGGGAACAGGCTCCCGAGTAGTTCGTGCACTAGGGATACATTCTGGTTCAGACTTTTTAAATGAATAACAGTGATTTCGAACTCAGTGATATGAAACAAAATAAACTCTTTGATTTGGGGGCATAGAAATCAAACTAAAACAACATGAAATACCAGATTTGAGTTGAACGTGGTTCTCCTTAATAACCACTGCATTAAGCAATACTACTGATTTTGATATATCTATAAGGAAGCCAAATTAAGCAAGAGTAAAAAGGAAGCTGATTAAAGTTGGTTAAGCATTGTTTATCTGTGCACCTGCATGCATAAACACCCCCCTCAAGACACACACACACACATACACACACTTGCTCACATGAACACACATACTCTATATCTCAGTTGATCAGACTTCTAACATTAGCATTTTAGTTAGGTAAATAACAATTCTCTGAACTCTATAAGAAAGGAGACTAGACGGTCAACAGTAACACTTATGTTCAGAAGCATGTACATCATAGGGTATGTGAAGGGAAGAAGGGAGCCTAACACCAATCACAGGCCTTGGGAGTCATCTAATGAAGGGAGCTCATGCATCCACAGACACAGTGGGGTGGGAGGTAGGAGAAGCACGAGGGACACAGGAGAAGCTAGTGCAAAGCCGTTTGCAGGAGGTTTCACCATAGCTATGGGCCAACAACCGGATAATACCCAAAGCGGAGTAAAATCACTCCACTGTGGTTATGCTCACTGCTATGGGTATTAGAAGGTTAAAGATGATGCTGGAGTCCCACTCAGAGCCATCTTACTAGGCATTTCTTTCTCAAGTCTGTGTTTCACGATTGGTTATCTGTTCCTCAGCAATCATCTTGATCTCTATGTCAAAATATTCTCCCCACTCCTCCTAAATTCTATTCCTGTTTTATCTTTATTCTAAAAATTATCTAAGTATTACAGTTCAAAATGCATTCATTCATACATTGACTGCCCTTTCATCAGAATATAAATCATAAGGAGAACTATTTGTTTTTTTGTGTTTTTGTTCTTCTTCTTCTTTTTTTTTTTTTCTTTTTTCTTTGAGAAAGGGTTTCTTTGTATTTCTGGAACTAGCTCTGTAGGTCAGGCTGGTCTGAAACTCACAGAGATCTGCCTGCCTCTGCCTCCCGAGGGCTAGGATTAAAGACGTGCACATCAACGCCTGGCTAAAACGTATTTTTAATCTCTAAGTTGATCATAGTATGATTAATAAATACTATTGAAATTAATGCATGTATTTAAGCCTATTAAATGACTGAATATATACATAAACCATGTATGTATAAATGAGTTATACTCACACATTTTAAAATTCAGCTCATATAAAAAGAAAGCAAAATAGCAATGGAGTCATCAATAACTTCTTGAGAATTTATCTCTTTAAAAAATAATTATTTATTTTCATCGTATGTGAATAGGTGGGTTGTTGGAATGGATGAATGTGTGAGGGTGTCACATGCCGTGGAACAGGAGTTAATGACAGCTGTGAGCTGCCATGTCGGTGCTGGGAATCGAACCTGGGCCCTCAGGAAGAGCAGCCAATGCTCTTAACTGCTGAGCCATCTCTCCAGTTACAAGGATTTATCTTTATTTTAATGAGATACTGACTGGAAAAACGCCGTTCAAATCCGTGTTTATTGTTGTGTTTCAGGAATGTGTCTGTTACATCTGAAGGTTAAGGCCTAGATTAGAGAAAACGTGTTGTATGACACAGCATTATTATTAAGCATTTCATTTTACTTTATTTTAGTTTTGAAATGGAAACATTACAAACAAAGCTAACTATGTTGGGTCACCAATAATTTAATTAAAAACAAAATTTTGAGAAACAAGTGACTTCAGTAAGTTAAACCTAATAGAAATTTAATGGAAGCAAATGTGTTTCCTATTACAGTGTCAGAGAATTTTGCTGGTACCCAACAAAGGGAAAAGGGAATCCAATGCTGTACTCTATGAACAAAAAGTCTAAATATATATAGATGAAAAATCGGCATCTATCTATTTTAAAAGGTAAGAAGAAACAGCATGGAGGTCCCTAATGTGCAAGGCTAATTAGGCCATTTCCATCCTGGGAGAGTTAAGACATCATTGAGATACACAGATAAATCAGGCAGCTGAGTTACAAGTGTAAAAGAGATGTTAAGAAAACGCAGAGTTCAGGAAACCTTTCAAGGGATATGATGCTTAATTTAATCCTTAACTTTGAGAAGTACAGAGTCTCTATATTACAAGAATTCAACACAGTGGGAGAAAACAGCAAGTTCAGGCATTGTGTTCTATATTAAATAATTAAACATTCAATATTAAAGTCAATATTAAAGAATATTTTAAAGAAATATGTAATGTGGATTGTGACAAGGGGCAAGGGATTATTTTATAGCTATCTGTTCTTTAATATTTATACTGTTTCTTCCAAATGCAGTCAAGTCACTAGGATGGAGGGGCTAGCAAAAGTTTATTCATTTATGAAACTTTGCACAATCACAAGTATCCAGAATTAAAGATCAGTGAAATCATTACTTTTGTAAGTTAGAGACTTGACTATTGGACCAATACAAAAAGTGCCCATTTAGGTGGCTTAATCAATATCTAAGTACTTAATAAAAAATTATTTATGATGAGAAATTATTAGTCAGTTTGTTGGCACTTTTTTATTTTAAAAATCATTATTTTAAGATCATTCCTTAATAGTTTAAAAATAAAACCCATACATGATTTTCCAAGCAGTCTCAAGGTCAGTTCCCATAATAGTGTAATATATGAAATGATAAAAACCTAGTGTGGTCAAATGATGTAACGGTACACGTGCCCCTGCTGACCAAATAATTTTTCAGATTTCCTTATGAATACATCTCTACAAACACTGAAGAAATGGTAGCACTTTGTAAAATGGGAAGTAAAGCAGCTCAAATTCTACAAACTTCAACCTGATGTTTCATAATGTATTCTTGCCTTCGAGTCAGGTATTGTGTAACAACATTACTGAAGCCTTTTAAGGCCTAACCAAGACTTTCTTTTGTTTTCAGATAAAGACATGGAGTAACCTCACTTAAGTGGGGAGAGTGAACTGAGGAGAGAATATCATGAGAGAATGTGTGTGACCTGCTGCATAGAAGAAAGAGTGTCCAACCAGAGAATCAAAACAGTGTACCAATCTACAGAAACATCCCACAGAGGCTTCAAAAAGGTTCAGCTATATGACAGCAACCTACAATACAAGAAGCATATTCCCAGGAGGAGGCAGGGACAATGACTGAAGAAGAGAGAGATGTCAGAATGGGTAGCAGTGTAGTCCCAGAAAGGAGAAGGCACAGGGAACAGGGAAAGCCATCTCTGTATTGTAAACAGGGCCCCCCCGTATTGCAGGAGCCACGTCAGTGATCAAAGAAGCAACCTCAAAGCTCAGTACCTTTGCTTTATCACGCATTGATCCTTTGCCCAGGATAGACATCTTAGCGCCTGTTTCTTCCTGGAGCCTCTTCAAGGAGTTTCCTCTTGGTCCAAGCAATTTCCCAACAAAATTGAACTAGAAAACAAAATCAACAGAATGTTTGAACTTAGGGAGTTTGAACTTGTAATTTGCATCAAGAATAAGTAATGATTGTAGGCTTTTAAACTTTGCCATTAAGAAGTAATGAGGCGTACACCCATACATTAAGTATACATTTGCGCACGTGCACACAATAACACCTGAAATTACTTCAATCCAAGATCTTCAATCCAAGAGTGCTTTTAAAGGAATACTACATCCTAAAAGAGAGTCAAGATCAATAGTACAGTGAAAATATTATTTATTCAAATAACCAAATATGTCACTTACATAGAAACAAAGTGAAAGGATTATAGAGACCTAAAAAGTCTAATGGATTTTTTCTCTCCAAATTATTAAAATCAATAAATTTCCCACAAATTCTAGGACCTTCAAAACTGAAAAAGTTAACATATTAAATTTATTTAATAATAGAATGTAATTTTATTTGACATTGCATATGTCTATATTATTCTGTAGCAAATATGGTTAGGAAAAGTGGGGGTAAATTACTCTTCAATATTCTATTCTATTAAATACTCATTCTTAGTATGAGAAAATAAGAGATTTGAGCATACAAAAGACTATCCCACATACACATACACACACATATATCATATACACATCATATACTATAAAATTATAAACTTATATGCAAATTTTTATCAATTCTAAACTATTAACATAAACAAACTGATTAAGAATGGTCAGTAATTTGTCAGCTTCTATAGGGAATATTTAAAAACTAAAAGATGAAGTTTTCATTTATGCTATACGATCAAATCAGGTTCAAAATCTAGATTGTAAGATACGTTGCAAAGTATTATATTTTTAAAGGATAAGTAATTTAAAATTGTGACCTTACAATAAGACACACCACTATTGCTTTTCTTTTGTTGTTACTGGAGATTGGCCTTAAGACCATCCATGAGTCAGGTGAGTGCTCTACTTCTGGAAGAGCCAAGGTTAGCATCAAATTCACTCTGTAACTCAGGTAGGCTTTGAATTCCTCCTGCCTCTGTTTACCGATGAGTAGTGATTACAATCCTTGACCACCAGGCCTGGGTAGAAGGATGATTACTTGAGGTATAGGATTTGGGAAGAAGCTAGGTAAGGAAATGGAAAGGGATAATTGTTGCATTTCTTTGCGTGTGGTGAGATGTTTTAAAACATAGTGATAGCTCCAGAACACTGAACAAACTAAAAGTGGATAGAATGTTCATTTGGACAGATGTATTAGATTTAATTAGATCATCAAAAATTTGCTTAACAGAGAATATCACAGAAATGTTTTTAAAATACATACATTATATTTAATATTAGCATTAGATACTTTGTTGTTAGGCACATAATAAAGGGAATCTTTCTACTCTAATTACAATTATTCATTACCGCATTGAGATGTGGATTGTTTCCCACCCAGGTATTAGACAAATGGATCAATTTAGTGCCTAAAATGATGGCACGACCATCAGCTGATTTTCCACAGATATACCAATGAAAAATAAAGAAGAATCTTGATAAGTCTTTCAACAAATCATGTTAAATTAAATCAATATACAAAACAGAACACAACACACAAAACACAACAAAAGAAATATTCTATTTAAAGAAGAAGTCAAAAGCCAAAAATAGACATTTTTTTTCAACTTCAGACATACACAAAACCTGGCTGAGAGTGATCATAGATTTTAAGTTAATAGATAAAATTATAAATATTATGAAAAGAAATTATATAAAGCTACTTTGGAAAACAGGCTAGTAAAAAATAACAAATTATGATGCATATACATAAGCCCATTGATCCACAAACACATTTTACATATTGAATATAGAAGTCAAAGACCGGAAAAGAAATATTCCATATGTAGATAACAAAATTGACTAGCATCAAGAATTTACAATGAACTCCCTGAATTTCTCCCTGAATAAATACCTATTCGACCTATTTGTTTCTCCTGACCCTTATTAAACATCAATGAACTCTATCAAATCAAAACTAACGAAACTATAGAAGACTACAATATCTAAAATTAAAAACTGGAGCCACATGTTGGCATAAATGTGAAAGTATTGAGGCAATCAGCAGCGGGAAGTTTTTAAAGGTAGGTATAGAGAAAGACACAAAGAGACAGCGAGAGACAGAGAGAAACCAAGACACTGTAGCTAAAGAAAGAAAACACATTGCCCCAAATAGGGGGAAGCAAATTCTCTGGCTGGCTCAGAGGCTGCTTAACCCTGATTAACACACCTCCCTCTCACACTGCACCTCTTCCTACTCCCTGTCCTGTCTAGGGAGAGACAAAACAGTGTGGGACTCAATGTATCAGCTTTTGAACACCTTATATGCTCTTTCTGGGCAGAGGATTCTATTTCCTTTCCTTTTTCCAAGCAGTTGCCTCAGAGAACCTGGGAACCCTGGGATCGATCGGGTGGTAGAAAGAACTACAACAGTATGGCTGCGCTAGACACTGCCACCAGGCAGCTGCTCTTCGAACTGGGTCCCAGAGCCACAAAAAGAAACTGAGGTTTTAAGTTAGGATGAACTGTTTTCACAAGCTGTTTTCCAGAGGTCATAAAGCTCAGCCAACACAGAGACTCAGACCTGTCTGATCACATACCTGCATGCCTTCTTGAGTGGAATAAAACGGCACTAAGCAGACTTGTGCCTTGGATATGAGGGGAGGTAAAAACATCAAAGTCATGGGTGAAACTGTACACGTTTAAAAAACTCTGCCAGGTGGTACAGAGACTCGTGTCTTGATGGCGGACAGGCTCGCTTTACCATGCAGCTGAGCTCATGAACAGAGAGTAACCATGTTTGTCACCATTTTGCTGAATGGCATCATACATATACGCAATGTTACCACCACTCACATGGCGTAAGTCAAAATGGTGATTCCCCATGAACGGCGTAAGTCAAAATGGTGATTCCCCATGAACGTCCCAGTGCCATTGGACCTACAGTAGCACTTTTATATTATATTTCCTACTATATTTTACTATGTTATATTATATCAAGGAAAAAAATAACTGCTTATCATGAATCCAGAACTAAATTAAGGGGGGAAAAGAATATTTTAGATACCTGTTAATGAAGTAATCCAAGTGAAATAATGTTTGACTTGAGTTATAAATTAGCCAGTTTACCCTCTGAGCTTATACTATCCAAGAACAGCCTGTTTGAGACTTATAATTTTCCATTTTTTTTTTTTTTGCCATGGAAAATGAGGATTTATGAGCTGTTCATCAATATGCATTTGAAATACCCCCTTTAAAAATGTCACATTTACACATGAATTCCAGTAGTGATCTGTCCCTTCTCAGAAATGCTAGATTGTGCACTTTCTCCCTTTGCTGTGGGCACAGCGTCTGCTTCTGCCTGACCGAAGGTAGTGCTGGTGTATAGTCCTGCATCAGGCAGGCTGAAGATGTAGGACCTCAAGCCAAAGATCAGCCTATGCTCATGAGGGACACCCCAATAAAGACCTGAGTTTTAACAACAATAATAAAAAAGAGAAGATGGGGAATGAAAGAGAATGTTTCCGGATTAGCTAATGAAGTGCTATATGGCCATAAGCCAAATTTTACTCTCTCACTCTATATATATTGAATATATATATATATATATATATATATATATATATATATATATATATAAATCAAAGGTGGTACATAAAATAATTATTTATACCCATCAACTTAGGAAATGTAGAATAAAATTGGAACTTCTATTTTTAAAAAATTTCCAGAAACTTACAACTTCGCCTGAGGGGAAAGGGCCTTACATATAAAGTGCTACATAATTCCACTCAATGTATTAAATTCTGTGAAATGAGTACAGATTAAGGCCTGGGAAGATCCAAAGGAAGAATTTTTTTGACTAGGGGGCAATTATGAGATTCATTCTTCCTTCCTTCCTTCCTCCCATTTGCTTATTAAAGAAGGAAAAGGGAATTACATATTTTAAAAGTTCTAAATGGGAAAATGGTGAATAATATGCTATAGAATTTGAGGTCCTAAAAATGTTATCTCCCAATAAAAAATGTTTAGTGTGTCTTGATGAGCAGTAACAATTAGGCCAACAGAAGAGTGTCCAATGCAGGTCACAGGAAGAGAAAGACAAAGGCTCACAATAAGGCATGGCCAAATACAGGTTTGGGGTGCTCTGGTCAGTACAGACCTTAACACTCTATATACCCTTACTCAATAAAATAAAATATAATAACATATATTCAGATCAAACATGAAAAAATAACAAAACACCTGGATGTAGAGCCAAGCAGCTGAGGGCACTTTGAAATGTTTTCTAAGATGGTTGCACTGGAAACAGAAATCTAAGAGCCAGTCTTAGTGTCTGTGAGGACCTTGAAACACCTACTTGGCTCACAAACTCCAATTTTAACAATCGGGTCTCCATCTTAAGGCATCTGGCAACCGAGGCTGAATCTAGCCCCAGGAATATGCTGTGTCCGCAGAAATTTGAACAAGCACCCTAGAGATGCAGTCAACCAGAGGATAGGGCAGTAAGTTCCAGATGTACTATCTTAATGGTTTACTGGTTTACAGATATGTGTATAGACATCCTGCTAGCCATTTATGGGTTGGCGCCAATGGCTGGATGAGTAATTTTATAAAAAGATCGCCTTGCCCCGTGTACCCACTGACACAATCCCAAGATGCCAGGGCATATGCCTCCCCCCACGCACACATGCACTCATGATCTTCTTTCCTTTGAAAACGTGTGCTCGTTTGTATTCGGGGCAGCATTCCCTCAGCTGCTGCTTGGGAGTGTGAACCAAAGTTAACTGAAATAAAAGATACCCTTGCGTGATTGCATCGGACTCTGGCTCCTTGTGGTCTAGTGGCAGTTCCTAGACACGGCATAACACTAGTTGCCATGCACACTGAGAAATGTAGATGATGATATATGTTTAGTAATATACACCCAGTTTCTAGGTAGAGGACCAACTTAAATTAATGTAACTCAGACAGAA